ACACACACACACACACACACACACACACACACACACACACACACACACACACACACACCAGGCAAAATCTAAAAAAAGGCATAGATCTGTAGACTCACAGTACATATTGATAGCAAAGCTCTGTTCCAACTTGAATGTTTTATTTAGAGTTAGTAGCTTGCTTGGCCTGCATTGTTGAGGTTTGCATCTGCTATTGATGAACTAAACTCTTAAACTCAAGCTGACAAAGGCTGTTTCTGCCGGGGTCTCTTTTCGCCTTCCAATGACAGTATGGTATTAGCTTCATGCAATTGTGTGAGATTAGGAGTAAGTATGAATATTATTAGCATAGCAGTGTGGAGTTCGCTGTGAAATGCCCATTCCTCACAGTCTCTCTTCACCTTGTACAGGAAGCATGACCATCCTTCCCACGGTGCTCTTCCTAATCACGGGGGTGCTGAGGGAAGCTGCAGTTAAGACTGCTGACAACTCAGTGCCTGTGACCGTGTCAGCCGCCCTGCAGGGCATCAAGACCATCATCACCTCCCCACTAGCCCGGGTGGAGAGCATGCAGACACAGTGGACCGGCCTCGTGAGGAGCAGTCTGGCGTCTGTACTCGAGCACTCACAGCCAGGTAAGCAAATGCACACTTGTGTTTGACCGTGAGCTGTGGCCCTTCTACTGAGGGGGTAAGAAAACAGTATGACATCATTATTTATTGACAGTTTTGCATGCTTCTTGTGTATTTCTATAGATGAGTCCAGGCCCGACATGGATGAGGTCAGTATGTTAACAGCCATCACACTCTTCCTGCTGTCTGCCAGCAATGAACTTGTAGGAGTAACCGTCCTGCAGAAAGGCTGCATGGACCGCTTCCGAAATGCCCTCAACTCTAGCGATCCCTGGGTAAGCACCTATGAATACAAACACAGCTGAGGTATGGTGAGAATCTCAACCTGGACACAGTCTGAATGCCTGAACAAAAGGTGTATTCCAGATGTGTGTGGTCAAGTTAATATGAGTGATTTCATTCTTTTTGCCGCAGGTTCAGGCACGGTGTTACCAGCTGCTGTTGTCAGTGTTTCAGCACTCCAGCCGTGTGCTGTCTACTCCGTACATCCACGCTCTGGCTCCAGTGATGGTGGAGAAGCTGAAGGCGGTGGAGCGCAGTCGGCCAGGGACTGCTGCTGAGCTGCAGGCTGTGCAGGAGGGCATCAGGGTCCTAGAGAATCTGGTCGGCATGGGTGAAGAGCAGAACCGTAAGTATGCCTCCGCCTAATGGACCGATACAGTGGCGTATTTGTTCCATTAAAGTGTTTAGCTCCATTAAAGGAGGCCTCTTAAATTGTTTAGCTCTGTGCCTTTGGATGTGCGCTGTCAAAGATCAGAGCAATATAGCATTGAAAGCTCCATTTAGAATCCCTGCTCTAGTTTACTGTCAATTGAACTATTGATTCCAACATTACGTGATATAATATATTCTATTTCATGTATTCAAATTGTGTATCTTGTTTCCCCAATTATCTTGTTCCTGCTTCCTCTTGTTTTTATTTCCCAAGTAAAGCAAGCTGCACTGCGTACTTACAGAAAATGTTATAAAAACGTTGATTGATTTCATACTTGTGGTATATTCTATTTAATATGCAGCTTGTGTTATGCATCACATAGTTGGGGCCACTACTGCAGAATATTTTCATTACAAATTGATCTGCAGATAATTTCATTGATGAATCTCTTGGCCTAAAAAATGTCAGGAAACAGTAAAACAATATACAGTCTGTGCAGTTTTTGGTGACGTCTTCAGAAGTCTTGTTTTGTCTGACTAACAATATTAAGTGCTGTAATGAACAAGGAAAATCAGCAAATCATCACATTGGGGTATTCCGCTTATTTGTGGCCTCATTTCCTTTTGTGTTCGGTGCAGTTAAACTCTCTCAGCCCTTTTCGGTCCATCTTATTAGTTTTGCTGTTGGTGATTATCTTTTTATTATTTGTTTTAATAGGGGTGCAGTTGCTGGCTCTTCTTGTTCCAACGCTTGTCTCCTACCTTTTGGATGAAAATGCCATCTCCTCTGCGCCCCAAGTCTCCAGAGCCCTGCATGAGTTTGCCCTTCAGAACTTGATGCGGATTGGCCCCCTCTATCCAGCTGCGTTCAAGATAGTAATTGGTGCAGCACCTGAGCTTAAAATCCGTTTGGAATCTGCTATACGGGCCAATCAGGCCAGCAGCAGAGCCAAAGCTGCGGCCAGGCTAGCTCAGCCGACTGTGCAGGCTGCACCAACCATCAAACTCAAGACGAGCTTCTTCTGAAGTCCCCGAAATGAACCGTACATTCTTGCAGCCTAAATTAACTTTGTCTCTTTAGGTTTGTTTTGTTGTCTGTCAGCAGAATCGGCTACAGTTTCTTAAGTGTGTTTATTTATTCGACATGTCATCGTTGTTTTTGATGAGTGAGAACTCTTCTTGAAGTCATGAAGGAAATTATGTAAATATCATTAAAAGGCATTTGAATGTTCACTTTTTAAAAAAGCTCACTTTAAAGTTCGTAGGAAGTTTTGATTGTGTGAATGTATCATTTGTGGACTTGATGCACATTTACAAAGGGACACAATTTACATCTTTTCTCCTGATGTTGTCCTTTTTGTCTGGTCATCATCCCTCACTATTCAGAAGTTGATGTTAACTGTGCCATTTTTCTGTGATTTTTTTTTTTTTTGCATCACCGTGGCCTTTTGATTCCAATCATGCATGTTTGTTACATGGCGCTGGTTTAGTACATGACCTCGTGGTCTGCTGATTGTTACCGATGTTTCTTCTTTTTTTTCTTTTTCTCCTTAATTATGTTGTAAACATTCATTTTGATCATCACTATTTTAAACACAGAATGAGATTTTATTAGAGCCCATTGAATATTAAACACATGCTTTCAAATTATTTTTGGAGCAAAATATGTAATTCTAGTTAATTGGTCTGCTGATAAATGGGCGGGTACTACATCATGTAAACTACAGTATGTGCTTCATATCATCCAGATTGTTGTATTGCTTATAATTGATTTTTGATCCATATCAGTCTGTGTAATTGCTACATGAATGGGTGAGCTTCAGCTAAAATAACTTAGCAGATTGTTTAAAATGGTCCGATATAACATTCCATTTTCTTTGAAATGTGAATAAAGTTGCTTTGACCTCACTCTGCTTACGTCTGTATATTATAACCGATGAACCCAGTTGTGTAATAAATACTGACGCAGGATCTGTAACAGAATGTACAAGATTTTTACATTTCTAGTGAAATGGGTAAAATAAACAAGGAGGCTGTTCCTTCGGGGAATCCGGGTAAGTGAATCGAGCGCCCCCAACCAACATGCTGTGGGCGTGGTCGTTGAGACTGACGTCACTCTATGACAGCTAGCTGTCAGAAAGTGAGTTCATTCCCTCGAGCCGAGGAGACAGAGCGCAGGCGATAGTCTTTTTGCCCTTCCGTTGATTTCTAGCAGCACAAATCAGCGAGACAACGAGACAGACCTTTACACCGAGCCCGGCCATGGACGAGCAGGCGGGGCCCGGCGTGTTCTTCAACAACAACAACAACTCCGTGTTACCCGGCGGGGGGAAAGGACCGCTGCCCGATGGCGACGCTGCGGAGGCGGCTAGAGCGCAGTACAGTATCCCGGGGATCCTGCACTTCCTGCAGCACGAATGGGCCCGTTTCGAAGTAGAGAGAGCACAATGGGAGGTGGAGCGGGCCGAATTACAGGTGAAAACCGTCACATTTTATATACACACGGTCGTATATTAGTGGCACTACCCGGGCACAGAGTTTCTTCTTTCTGGTGAATCGCGTTGAGTTTGTATGTGATTGCTCTGGTTCCTCGGCTAGCTTGTTAGCTTTAGCAGAGAAGCTAAAAGGAGCTGCAGCCCCCCCCCCCTCTCTCTCTAACCCGACTGCACGACGACTGTTTGCGACCTCTTCACTGGGACTGAAACCACTACTTGCTTCCATTGGTAGTTGGAGGACAGGCATTAGAGTAACGTTGGGCTTATAGGATACAGGAAAATAACTAATCGCTAGATTTACCTGCTAATTAATGAATGTGCAACGTTAGAGATAGACGTGTAAACTGCCTACTTATAGCTAAACGTAATGCACCCGCCTTGGTTTTTATTGCATTTTACCTCTAAGCCTATAACAAACCGACGTGTGGGAAAGGTCGTAGTTTTCTTAAGTGCGTTGATCTCTTGAGAGCTGTCAGTGAAGACACACAGCTTACAACACTCAGACTGTCAAGCCAGTGTCGTGTTGTTGAATAGTATCATAATGTAGCTGCCTTGATGCTGACACTTTTGAGGGGAAAATATAAAATGCTGTGTGTCTGCCTTTGATAAAGGCCCCGGCGCTTTTAATTGGTCCACTCTTTTAATAGTACATTTGACCCTCACTTGATGTTCAAACAACTCAATAATTCAGCTATTTATATGATATAATAAGGCTGTAGATTGTCCTGCTGTGAACCAGACAAACATGACACAGACAGGGATGCCAAATGTTTAGTTTGCTTTAACCAGAAGAAAATGTCTTGCAAATACCCAAAGTCTTTGTTTTATTGTGTTTTGGGTCCAACTCGACTTCCTTGTTTGATTCCACTGTTTGGAAGTACAGTGCTGTAATAGCCATATATTTGCAGGTGAATTTGGCTGACAGTAATGGTCATAAGATTTGAACCTATAAACTATCCTCACCAGCCTACATGATTGACTTTACGTATCTACAGTAGGGAAAATGACCTTTGACACCATGTGCCGGACCGTTACTATCCAGCATTTAAGAAGGCATTGTTGGAGCTTTTTAATGTTTAATTTCAGTCTCTGTGCCCAACGTTTGGAAGAAAAGATTTTTTTTCTTTCCATCATTTTGACCTGTTGTGATGGAGCCATAACTGTTGGAACACAAGAGCCAACTCTGACGTTTTGGGTCTGGTGGCCGGCAGACTGACCTCAGCTAACAAAGAGACAAGAGGAGGAGGAGGAGGGAGGGGGGGGGGAGTAGTAGTAAACTGCTTTGTTTTCAGATTGGTGACGTACACCCTGCCTAGTGTACCAGTTGTTTGACTCATCTGGCCCGTGTATCAAGCTTCCTGTCTGCTGCCATGAAGCAAGCTTTTCAGCCAGGCAACTGCAGCAAAGTGCAGTGAGGTTGCTAAATGGTTTATTGGGTGGTTTGTTTGTGGCGGCAAAACAGTGCGCGCTCAATTTGAGTTCTTGTTTTTCTCGCACCTAACCTTAAATGTGAGGCCGGTTGATGTTTTGAACATGATTTAGCCTGCAGTATACAGTATTCATTATTCATTTTACTCTTAACCTCTGTAGCACAGTACCGATCTGAATAGATGTTTCAAGAATGAATTCTCTATTTAGTCAGCCATGATGAGTTACTGCAGTCTCTCTTATGTAACCTTGTTGTGTCCATATTGCAAACATACACAGTACTTCAACCCATAGAAGGTGTTGGTCGATTAGCCTTGAGTGAAGGGACCGCAGTGAGCAAGAAGAGACAGAAAGTCATTTAGCTGAACCTGAATAGACTCGTATGAATAATGAAAAGTTGTAGTGGGCATAGAGCCTTAATGGACGCTATGCAGCATCTTCTGTACCGTATGTTCTTTTTGGTCCACTTCATCCTTCTGCAACATGCTGCTGCTCGCCATCACGTCCACACAGAATCCAAGCTGACATGTTATCTTACATGTTTTAAGAAGGCTACATACACGGTTTCAGAGCTAAGACCATTGAGAATGTACGTAAAGCCATTTCACAACCCAGTGAATACTCTCCTCCCAGGATTTAGTTGTTGTTGTTGGTTGAATAGGCATTGAATGGAAGACAGTTGAAGCTGTTGTCTTACATCTCTGTTTGGGAGGAAGGCTAAAACCAGGGCTTGAAGGAATGTGGTCCAGCCGGCCTGTTGGGTCATGCTCAGAGCCACTCCTCTCTACTGGAGCAGCACAGAAACTGTACCGTACATTAGAGCCGCAACGGTTTCATCGATTAGTTGTCAGCTGGGAAATTAACGTCAACCATTTTCACGATTATATACTCCTCTGTGACGGTACCTGAATGACTTTGAGTTATGGACAAAACAAGACATTTGTGGAAGTCATCTTGGGCTTTGGGAAACAGTGAGGAACATGTTTCACCATTCTCTGACATTATATAGACCAAACGACTAATTAACTAATCAATCAATTAATCAAGTAAAAATAATCGAAAATGAAAATAATTTTTATTTGCAGCTCTACTGTACATGTCCATCTTCCCCCGCTGCTGTGCGGTGTCTGTGTAATGCATAGGCTGCTGTCATACATGATTAAACTCTGGTTGAGTGGCCATTGATAATCAATTGACTCCATCGAGCTGATTTGCTTAGCGAGTGATAGAAATCTAGTCGGTCTCTAGTATGTTATCTTGGTAATGAAAGTGACTACGGATGCAATTAATGATTATTTCATTATCAGTTAATCAATTCATTCTTTATGCTTTAAATGGTGAAAATGGCATCATTGACTTGAAATGTGTTTTTGTGGTTATTTAGCAATGTTCTATTGTCCAAATGATGTCAAGCTACTTGTAATTCACAGTGGGAGACCGTCCCATGTATTGAACTGAAATAGTTGGAAGTGATTTTGCATAACATTGACATATTGTAAGCTACAGTATATCTATCGGTGTTTCTTATGAAACATTTGCAAAAACAAGGCACGTATTGTACATGGAAAACAAACCGCTCTACAATAGTTCAACCACACTTACAATTGAAGGAAACAAAGATCCCTCTGACTGACAAATGACAGGTTAAACCTCTTCAGTTTACCCACTGAGTAGACTGCAGAGGGCCCAAAGAAAAAACGACTACAGAGAACATTTAAAGGCCAATTGAACCGTTGTGGCTCTATATTGATATCCATGTATTCTGTATTCTCCCCTGTCATGCAACACTATTAGGACATCAACTAAATAGACGTTTGAATCATCAGTTTTTCGTTTAAAACTATTTTAAATGTAAACAATACATTTGGTGTCTGAGTTTTACTGTTTTTTATTAAAATAGCCATTTATCGAAGGAAAGAAAGAAACACGTCAATCTAACAGCTGGTTCATAACTTTTGCACGGTAGTGTACGTCGTGATATTGATTTGATTGTTCCCCCCCCCCCCCCACTGTACTGATTAGCACAGATCTTTTCCAGGCCTGAAGAGGTTGAGTGGAGCTACGCCCTGTACAGTGTGCTTCATCAGCCAGTTATGGGGAAATCCCTGCTCCATAGGATATCTCTGCGCCAGAAGTTATCTGTCGGCAGCCATAATTTGACACCAGCAGAAGGTTGAAGGTGACTCGGGGTGTACGGTGGCTCCATGTGGGCGCAGACTGACAGGTAGACCCACTGATCTTATCTGGATAGAAGCGTCTCCTGTATTGCTACAGGGAAGCCTTTTAATGTGAGCAGGATTATTGTGTGGCTCGTGTTGTTCCGTCACTTATCTTCATGTCGGAGGGGACTGCAGCTAACCATGGAGCAGCCTAGAATTAGCCCGCCTCAGTTAGACGACTTATTACTATGATCTCATGTTTACTTTTACGAATGACAAATCCTGATGCGTGCTTAGCTCAATGGCGCGTCAATAAAATGGACTGAACCAATGCACAAGCATACACATGAGCGTTCCACAGCATTCAGAAATGGGTGTCACCGCCGTTCCTTCAGTCGATACTGTGTCCACCCCCGAGCTGCAGTTATTTTTGCTTGCCCTCCCAGTGTGCGCCTCAGAGTACAATAAAAGTACATGCTTCCTTGCCAAGTATATACCATTTTCTCGACGTTGTTGCTCTCGGATAACGACGTAGAAACTTAAATGGCCGTTTCACAAAAGCTCGCATCCTTCCTCGCGTAACCAGGCTGTCGACCTCAAAGAAACGTCTCCGTTCTCAGTCACAGGTTCGCGACAGGCCGCCGTAACATTCGCCAGAAGCACCACAAAGACAGTCATTGTAGTGTATGGCAAATATTCACTGTAGAGACAACAGTGAGTAGTTTAACAGAGTTTGTGTTTCCCTGTGACGGAGCCTGAAGGGACCCTTGTTGATGAACTGAAGCGTGGTCCTGTGAGCTTTGCTCTACTGTCCCTGTTGGACTCGCACCAGAGCCTTTCTCTCTGCTGGAGAGCGGCCTGTTAATTCCCCTCTTCTTCCTCCATTCGCACTTACAGCCTTCATCTGTCTACGTGGGTGTGCGGGACAGCTGCCTGCTTGTGCCGCAAAGTTGCCTTCCTCCCCCATTTTGACAGTAAATCCGAGGTCCCCAGTCTGTCAGAGTTGTAAATTGGTGTTCTCACCCGATCAAATTGCTGCTCTCAATGTGTCGTGGTGGCGATATTGTTGTTTTCCCACATTTTGATAGCATAACAGTGTTATCCCTCTAAAGTAAATGGTTAGAGCTATATTTGTTTCATACTATAGATACATCTATGTGTCTACACATAGATTTTAAGTGGTTCTTTGCATTGAATGTTATATATCTTAACCTGTTATAACTGGATACAGCTGGGGACCGTTTCTTGTCATTTGGAAAACCCATATGTCAGAGCCATACTTGTTCAATGCAGTATTGGCCCAAGTTAAATAATTACATTGTACCTTAGAGCACAATAGAGCACTTCACTAGCTCTGTCTGAAATGCTTGCCCACATCAATATAAGTTCCCTG